ATATATATATATATATATATATATATATATGTATTTTGAAAAAAAAATGTTATACTTGTGTGTTTTCTTCGATGATGGGTCGGGATAGTGAATTAGGGGTTGTTTACTTCCTTCTTATTATCACTTATTGAATAAGAAGCTCTTATGGGCCATTTACCAAACGTTTATCGGAGTAAGCGTTTATCAAGTCACATTACCTTATTGGATGAATATGATAATAACCAAAAATCTTACTCGGTAAGAGCGAGATAAAGACTAAGAGTCTTACCCAGTAAGTGAGAGCAACGACTCTTACTATGGTAAGCGTTAATCATGTAAATTTTTGCATACGATGTTATTTTGGTGGACTAAAATCTTACCTGGTAAATAAATGATAGTATTAAATTTTACGCGTAAACACTTAACGGGTAAGTGTTTGATAAATAATCCCTTAATAATTAAAAAGTGAATATGAAAAATGCAAAGGAGATGTGGTCATATATTAGTGTCCAGGGTGGCAGTGCATTAATACTTTGGTGGCATAAAAAAAAAAGTAAACCATTATAGACATTGCGTGCAGTGGTACGGCCGTCCCACGCTTGCGCTCATCGGCCGAACTTTTGACGTTTCCGTCACTCCACTAACGGCCGCCAATGTGAAAATGTACAACCACAAAGAATCTTCATAAATATTTTCATTTATTTCAAAATTAATAATATTAGAAATGCTTTTTGACGAGATGATGCACCTATAAGGTTTATCAAACACTCGGAAAGTCGTCCAATGTGTTTTTGCTGAGTTCCACCACTTCGATTGATTTTTTAAGTTTTTTGGTTGATTTCGAAAAAATTTATTTGTTTTTTTGGTTAACGCCTTTTGTATTTTTTTAATATTGTGAAACACCTCTTGAAATTTAGTTTGTGCGCCTCTTGTACCCCGAAAAAATTTCTACTTTGAAAATCGGTTGAGCTGAGCTTGGGACCCTACAAGGGCCTTCATAGTTCCGCCCCAACATTAAGTGCAGTTTAAACCCTTAAATTCTAGAGAGGCTACCGATAACTCGAATACAACTGAACAAATGACCCTTTGGTTTGTTAAACCATTGTGCGGATGCCATCAAGCCACATCTTTTTTACCCGAGATACGAAAATCACCCATGAACTATAATTAAACCTTCAAATTTTGGTTCATCTTTTAATTAGGACTATTAGAGAATGAGTTTTTAGCCAATCCTTAGTTGATCCATCGCTGATACCTGGTTTTCTAGTAGTGTTTAATGAATTCGTTATCATTATATCAATATGCTTACAATCTTAACGGTATATGCAAATAGCTTTTAATTTAAAACCCTAATTGATTACACTTGTAAAGTACCTTTACCAAAATATTCAATATCAACTATTGGTATGTTTTGCTTGGCTACGCGTGCAGTAATATATAATGCTACATGTTGAGACCTATCATTGTAGTCACTACAATTACACTACAAATTTAACGACCTTTTCAATACTAAACAACATACTTTTATCGGGAGATTATCGACAAATTTTTTGTAAGTAAAAGTAGTTGTCTTGTTTTGTACTGTCTCCGACGTATTGTCTATCTATTGAAAAATGTAATTATCAAATAACACAAACAAAAAAAAGATTGTGGAGTAGAGGCAATCAGTAATTATGAGAAATATATGATAGATCCAGCTATGTACTTATGGCTAACACGGAGAAAGATGACTTGCTACATATTTAAAGTTAACATTAATCTTCATTTGCATCCAATTTTTCTTTGTTATTATGTCTTGGAAACAATGTTGGATTACGATATATGTACAAAGATTGATTTTGCATATATAGGTGGTGATGCTAACTACTCGAAAGCAATTTACCACCACAAGTGTTGATCTACCGTCTGCCAAATTGTTAATTAATCATGTGCGCAACATTCCCTTGTCGGTTAAGGCTTCATTCGTGCACGTCTTCATATTACCGAGTCGACATTACAAAAAAATTAAGTCATTTAGGTCGTTTAGCCGTCCTTAAGCATTCTAACTAAGTACTTAATAAGATTGTAAGTGTATAAAATCAAGACTTGTTCGTCACATAAAATGGTGTAAACAATAAGTTGTTACAGCAAAATAACACAATCGAAAAACTAAAAAAGCTTCATCGACGAAGTTAGACAACCTAATAGGATTCAAATTAAAACGACATATTATCCACTGTATAGAACGCTTTTAAAAAGGGTCATGTTAGTTCTTATACATTGTTATATATTAAAAAGGTTATATAGAAAATTTAATAGACGTTTTACTTCTATTGTTGCTCAACCTTATCGACATATTACTTATTAGATTATCTATTTCAATTCATCTGGATTTACTAGTGTCCTAACAAGTTACTTTAACATACATGACACGCAATTTAATCCTAAAAACTTAATAATTATCAGATAATTTACTAAACTATAACACCCGTAAAATAGGAGATAACCATAAAATAAATACTTGACTAAATAATATCGCCTAATCAATAGAGATATTGTAAAAGAGTTTATATCAATAAATTATAATGGACGATAGATAATAGCCTACTAATCTAAACCAATTCTAGATTTAATAGATTATGGTCGTATATGATTACAATCACCAAAAGAATATATCATGTGGTAACTCCAAAAGATGATGTCCCAAAAATGCATCTATCGGCGAACATCACTCCACTCAAGCAATAAGGACTCTGCTACCTTGAGACCTTGATATACATGTCATTTAAGAAAAAAATGTTAGGCTTAACGATTAGTGAGTTCAAACAATTATAGAATAAAGTTATAAAACATCAAGACTGAAAACATTGCTTTAATCAAATTAATTCATCCATTTAATTTAGTGAAAGTGTAGGATGAACTCATAATACTAGGTTTTGAAGAAAAACCTAAAAACTAAGCAAAACGGTGAGAAATACAAGATCTTGATTCTTGAAGCTTTAAGCACCAACTTTTGAATCTATAAACTTATGCTATTATATGCCTCCAAGAGTCACCAAAATGAAGCCTTTAATGACCTAGGTTTGGAGTAAATGAAGAGAGAGTGAAGGAGGATGAGAGTTGAGAAGTAAATGAACTTAACCCCACAAAATCGACCCTTTTACGCACATGAGGAATCCCACGACCTTGGCTCATGACCTTAGGGTCATGGCACAAGGTCGCCTACGGCTGTTGGAGGTTTCTCACGACCAGTGGTTCATGACCTTAGGGTCATGGCACAAGGTCGCCCGCAGCTGTTGGAGGTTTCTCACGACCGGTGGTTCATGACCTTAGGCTCGCAGTTCAAGGGTCACCCAGCCACACGGAAGCTTGCCATTTACGATACATTATATGCGACCATGACCCGAGACCTTAGAGTTATGGTGCAAGGGTCTCCCCACCCATACAGAAGCTTGAAATGCTTCATTTACATTGCACTTTTCATGGTTTATCTTGCAAGACTCGTTATTAACATAAGTACCTAATAAAGGGCATTTTCTTAATTAAAACATGATTATAATCCAAAATAACTATATTACAAAAATCTCGGGTGTTATATCAAGGACCATTAATTATCCCCAAAAAAGACCATCTTATCGTAGTGTGGAACCTCGACAAGGCTTAATTAAACAAACCCAAATGCCTTAATTATGTAGCATTGCGTTCATAATTTCACCATAGGTACTTTTATATATGTTTTTCACTTCATATACTAAAAAAAATTCATTAATCACATAACAAAATTACTTGCTGTTCAAGTAAACAAAATTACCTCAAGTTAAAGAGAATTTGATGAGGAGTCAAATACTATAAAAATACTTATAAGCATTTTCATTAGAGTATATATAATCGTTTTGCAGCAACAAAAAATACCAATTTGAAATTATTCATAGATAAGAAATATTGTTTGAAGAAAAATAGAAAGACATAAAATTAAAGGTACGTCACATGCATGTACGCCAAATCCGTCACCAACAAACCCGAACAATTCTTGTATCCTGCATCAATTATTGATGCATACAAATAAAAATCGTTCTCATCCTTCTATATATCTTCACTCTTCGATCCCTTTGCTTCATTGTCTTGCTCGTGACTCCTTTCAAATCAACGCTAGAATACAAAACATGATTTCATATGTATGCATATGATCCTCAAGTACAATTATTTCATCAACTAATACAATTATTTATATATGTTTCAACTTAACCATGTTTTAAGATCATATCTCGATTGGTACACATGGTAGGCCTCGTCGACACCTAAGTAGATCATGAACCTCTTGTTTATTAATGTAAAAACGATATTAACTTGTTTTCTAACCATGTGATATATATTGCTTGTGATTAATGTTTAATTACCATTTATATATTAATTTTATACAATAACGTATACATGTAAAGGTTTAAAAACAACTAATGGTTAATTTCTTATGTTAAAAAATAATCAATTAATTAAACACGTTCAAATACAATATTTTGGGACAAAAAAATCGTTCACATACATTATTATTATTATTGAACCCTAGCAATATGTATAACAAGATATTTTATGATTTTATCATTATTTATTTCCATTAAAAAAATGGGGTTATAACTAAAATAAAATATTTAAATAAATAAATTATATTAAAAATAATAATTTTATAAATTATAAATTATAATCCGTATCCATATATTCATTTTGGGTTTTTAAAAAAAATTGGTAATACATATTCAATCACCATATATATTCTCTATTTTATTTAATAATAATACTGAATTTCTTTTTTAACAAATTTTCAATTAATTTATAATAAAATATTAATTACGCTGCATCACATAGTTAATGATTAACGCTTTATCATTCAACAACTAAAATAACACATAAGAATAATTTTGAAAAGGCATTCAAAAGCTTAAACTAATGTGTTCATGCTAAGTTGTGAATGGAGGGGCAAAATAGTAATTTCATGCACAGGCAAGTGTCTACTTAAACCCTTGACATGAATCAAAATTCTTAAGCAAAACCAGAAAGACAGATATGGAAGTCCAACTGTCCACCAGCCTTTTCTTCTTCCTCTCGACAACACTCTTACTGGCTTCAACCACCGCCGGACACTTTTTCTCACCCATATCCGATGACACTGATTACATCCGTACAAGCTGTGAGACAACTCGTTACCCACAAACCTGCTTCAAATCTCTCTCCGGCTACTCCGGCGCCATCCAACATGACCCCGGACGCCTTGCCCGGGTGGCAATTCATGTCGCTCTCTTCAACGCCACCCACATGGCCAATTATGTCTCCGACATACCCCGTCGGAATGACTCCGGAAACACTTTAGAATCCGCCGCACTCAACGACTGCTCCTCCGTTTTCGGGGACGCAGTAGATGAAATCCGGCAATCGTATAAAGAAATGAAGCGTTTGGGTTGGACAGGGGAGTCGGTGAAGTTCCAACTCAGTAATGTGCAAACGTGGATGAGCGCGGCGTTGACCAACGAGAACACATGTACGGATGGGTTTGAGCAAGTGGCGGACAGCGGCGTGAAGGCGGACGTTTGTGATCGGGTGGTGACGGTTACGGAGGTTACGAGTAACGCTCTAGCGCTGGTTAACAGTTATGCAGATAAGATAACGGCGTAGTCTTGCCGACGTGTCGAACGGTTGTTACCGTGCAACATTCCGGTGTGATGAGTGAAACATATTTGTGCGGGCGGGTGTCAAATATATATTTTATTGATAATTTGACGTGTTTTGTATATGATGCGTTTTTACACATTAATTATAAATATGGACTTAAATGGGTTGTTAAGATTTTTGTTGTGTTTTATATTTGGTAAAAAGCATTGTATAATTGCAAATATATGGTATTTAATTTGAATACTTTGAGATTTTTAAGTTTCTTGTACGAAGAATTATAAAATAATAGGTTTTGTAATTGCAAAACGAAAGTTTACTTTTCTTATTTCAATTTAAGAAAGTCTTTTTTTTAAATAACTCATTGACCTAATTTATATACTTTTATATCATACCAGAAGGGTACTTGCATAAACACAATGCATGCAGCGAAATATATCTCGATTTTAATGTTTCATTTTATTCCATCTCTGTAGATGTTTTAATATGATTTTTATGTGGTTTTAAGAAATGGATAACGTTTTTATATTTAAATAAAATATAAATTCGAATATATCATAAAATTCCGAAAATAATATCAAATTAAATATTTAAAAGTTCTTGTTTTTCATGTAATTTCTTTAATTTAATTTTTTTATTATAATTTAATTTAGATTTAATAACAGAGTAATTTATTTTGATTTAATAATATATAATTTTTTATAATGATAATAATTAAGTATTCTGTTACAACTCAATTATTATCCTAATTAAATTTTAGATTTTTATATATTTAAAATTAGATATTTATCATGTTTTTTATTATGTTTATCTGCAATTATTTAACCAAATTTAAAATGAAGGTATGATAAGTTTTACCTTCGGATAATTTACTTGTAATCTTGAATTTTAAGTAATATGCATCAATAAACAGTATTTGATGCATAGAAAATGGTTTTAAAGAGTTTGTGTTAAATGCTTTATAATATAGTGTAAATCATTGTTGCTCTTGCTATCAGATCTGTCGTTCCAGCCAAACTCCCGACCTGACTATGTTAAACTAAAATTTGTTTATCAAAATGATATATTATTAATGGACAAATACGTGAAATGATTGTGGTTACTTAAATTTGAAAATGGGAAACTTAATTTTGTTATTAATTTGATACAAGTCCACATATATTTAGAGTAATGTAATCATTTTTGAATCTTGCATGCTGTCACCGAACTAACCTTTGCCACCCTACTACTACAAATGCTTGTCTCCATCAACCTCACCTTCTTGTCTGCCAAATCTCTGTAATCATGTATGTAACGTTCGCTTATTATGACAATGATTGATGAATGTAATAGTATGTTTTGATTGTTAATCTTCTTTTGGTATAACTCGTATTCCCATTCTCTTGTGTGGCAGTCTAAGATGGTTAACATGTGGAGTAGGCCATTGACCCAAGATGACTGTCAAAAGGCAAGTGTGACGGCTCCAACACAGCCGAGGGGAGCCGCTAATGCGTAACTCCCTCCAATCCCGCAATTGTTGAGTGGTGGAGTTGATTATGTGTTGAGAGTGACGTTGGACCATTCTAATACGGTCAATCAAGAATTGGACCCTTAGTCAGTGATGATGACCATCATCATATAGATAATGAATTTAGCCATGGAAAAGCAACAAGAGAAGGGGAGGGGGTTTGAAAATCAGATCTATAACTCTGTCATCTTCAAGATCCGAAACCACAGAGAGAATTTCAAGTCATCAGTGTATAGTCTAGGGTACAAGTTTCTAAAGCAAAAACAATGACGCCATTGCTTCTTCTACCCATCACTAATGACCGAAATCCAAGTGGGTCTCCAATTGCAACCAATTTATCTCCCGTTATGAACACTGATGTACCCGAAAACGAAGGGTTAGACATCTTTTAGCATGGACTGACCGTCAGTGGAGCATCTAACATGGCCAATTGCATTGTCTCCCGTGAGTTGCTCGAGTTTGGATTCATTGAATACTTCATAAACAAGACCGACACCATTGATTGATTTGAGAACACCGTCAAGTGTGGCGGCGACGACGCCGACTCCTTCATGGCCATGGTGTTGGAGTACGTGGAGGGCTAGGTAGCATAGACTGGATGCCGAGAACTGATTTGAGGACATTTCCAACTTCAATTTCTAGGTTATTTTATTTAAGGGATATGGTATAATCAAGAGGTAGGTGAGAAAATCAAGAGATATGTTGTCAAAATTAGTATATTACTAAATTGCCCTTTTGTATTTATTTGATAAATAATATAATTATCTTAAATGATTGGATATCACGGTTATCACAAACTACACAACACAATTCTCATTTAATTATGCTCATATATAAGTGATAGTGATGAATTTTTCCGGTAAGCACTTACTCGGATAAGCGTTTAGTAAACGACCCTTAGTTATATAGTCAAATAAGTATGTTTGTTTAAGAAATTGCATGGTAATATTTGTATTCATTTTTACGTAAAATTAACCAAACAAAATTGAATTTGCAGCAATAAATAAAAATAGCCATTTGAATAATTTCAAAGATAAGAAATGTTTGGAGGTGCGTGAAGAAATGGAAACACAAAAAAGACTCACGTGCATGTACGCCAAATCCGTCACCAACATAACCAAACAATTCTTGTATCCTTCATATGATTGATACCATTCATGATAACCAAACAACTCTTGTATCCTTCATATGATTGATACCATTCATGATAACCGTTCTCATCCAATCGTTCTATATATAAGTCGTCACTCTTTCTCTTGCTCCTTTCAAACAAACACAATGATGAAAACAAGATTTTGTATATATATAATTATTTCATCGACTAATTATTTATGTTTGATTACAAGTTAATTTCATACGTAGATTGGTACATATGGTAGGGCTCGTCGACACCTAATATTTATGTGCTTTAGGTTTCTTGAACCATAAGTGGATCATAAACCTTTTCTTTATTAATATAAAAACCCCTTTCATGTGATAGTCTTTATGATTTAATAGATTGCATGTCGGTCTAATTAAGTTGTAACTATGCTTGTACGTATCAATCACAATCATTTGTAACACTATGAGACTTGAGCATTATCAGCGACTGGACAAAGTTGTCGTTAACCCATTGTTGATAGTTTGTGGGTCAAGAGGTCGTGGGTGATGTTACCACGGACGGATTTAGGGTTAAGGTTTGGAGCCGGGTAATATATCAGCGACGGATTTTCGAGAGAAATTTCGTCGCTAATTCAATAAATTTAAAGTTGATCTTTGTTAATTTATTATATTACTTTTTTAATTGATATAATTAGAAATTTATTAATTAATTATTGAATATTATATTATGTATGCATTTCTTAAAAAATTAATTAATAATTAATAAATTATAAATAATCTTTAGTTACAAATAACTAAAGAACGAATTAATTACATATTAAATATAATAAAATAAAGCCCAATGAAATCGTTTAAAACCAAATAAACCCCGATAGATCTATTAGAGTCCATTAAGATCCATTAAAGATCAATATAATCTGTTAAAGCCAAATAAAACTGAATAAATCCCGTAAGAACGGATTAAAACCCAATAAAACTCATTAAAGACCAATTGATCTATCAAAGCCTAGTATAACACATTATAGCCCAATAATACTTAATAAAACCCAATAAAGCACAATAAATCCATTAAAATCCAATGGAACTCTTTAAAACTGAATAAAACTCAATATAACCAATTAACCATCACAGTCCATTAAGATCCATATTAGTTTACCAAACAACACACATACATACAATATATATACGTTCACATTTACACATACATATAAACATATACACATATATACAACAATATATACATAGATTCAGTCACAACAATATATACATAAATTCAGTCACAGTTAGCAATATATATACATCATATATGTATACATATAACATATATTGACGGATAAATATCATACACATTTGAATAACACATACAATTAGGAAACAATAAAAGTAAATAATTTCATCATTAATCCATCGCTAATTAGCGAACGATTAACGACGGATGTGTTTAGTGGTCAGTCTCTCGCTAATCTCTCATTAATTAGAGACGAATGTGTATTGTCAATCTAGGCTAATTAGTGAGGGATTGACCACAAAACACATATGTCGCTAATCCCTCACTAAGTAGCGGCGGATTAACGAAAGATTGACCACAAAATCCATCTGTCGCTAATAAGCAAGGGATTAGCGGCGGATGTGTTTGTGGTCAATCCGTCGCTAACTACCAGTGATGTCGTTGGCCGCTAATTAACGAGGGATGTAATCCATCGGTAATATGCAGTTTTCTAGTAACGTAACAATCCCTCCTGGATGGATATAAACGTAGATTCGTGAACTCCTTATATATAAAGTTTAAAATTATATATCATCAATAATTTTCACCATGTTTTTAAATTGAACTAAAAGTTATTGGATTAGACACTCTTTCGGACTTGGGCACTACAAATACTATCAAAGCTGGTCATTAATAGAAAATACCCTTGAGAGTGGTGGTGTTTATAACATTTTAAGTGATTTTTTTTTTTGGATTAACCTGGATATCCAACTCAATTTTTTATTAGCCGACTAATCTCAGGGCAACCACCTGCTTTGCAGGTAGCCCGGAGTCACCGCATTTGAACATCCGTGGCCACAAGAGGATTTTTTTTCCTTTTTGGATTTGAACCTGAGACCTCTTGACACTTTTTGACCTTTGAAACCAAGTTCAAACTAATCAGACACACCTATGTGTGGTTAATAATAAAGGTTTTATCACTGCTTTATATTCAACAACTAGAATATAAACTAATTTTGAAAAGGAATTCAAAAGTTTAAAGTAATTATTGAGTTTATGCATCATCATGTAAGATTGTAAGGAAGTTGAGTTGGTAATGGAGGGGCAAAATGGTAATTTCAAGCGAAGGCAAGAGTCTACTTAAAATCCTTGGTATGAATCAAAATTCTCAAGGAAAACCAGAAGACAGATATGGAAGTCCAACTGTCCACCAGCCTTTTCTTCTTCCTCTCGACAACACTCTTACTGGCTTCAACCACCGCCGGACACTTTTTCCC